TTTTTATCTTTACTGAGACTTTAAAGAATAACAATGCTTTTTTTTCATTTTCAATGCATTTCAACTTTGGGGATATATGTAAAATATTATAAAAGATTAATAAAACATTTACATGTGTTAACCATAATCGTTTTTCAGTAAGCTTTAATAACTAAAGAATAGGAGAATGATGTACCGAGAAGAAAATATGCAGATGTACCTAAACAAACAAACACAACCTAACATTTTACTTGTTCTTAATGCTGCTGGTAAGAAAATGATTTAATTATACAAGTTAAACAATCTAGTTAAGTGTACTAGTTCGTATTATAGACTCTGTTCGGTTTCTATCTTTCAAAGCGCGTTAAATGTCAGATATATGCCAAGCGTGCTCCTCTACACTAATGATTCGTTTTGTTTGTTTTAGAACAAACTGCACCTTGTCCGTCGCAGGGATAGAACCTTGATTTTTAACGTTACAAGTCCTGAAGCCTACAGCCGAGCTATCAGATTTTTTTCTTTTTTTTTTCTTTTCTTATCTTGAGTGGCTTGATACGGAGTTTGGTGACGACAGTGGTAGTTTAAACCTAAAATATGGCGAAGTATAACATTATCGCCAGAATAACAGTTAGCAATTTCAGTTTCAGTATATTTTATAGTGGCATTCAAGAAATGAATTATAGGGAAAAATCTAATCGGTGACTCTATTTTCTTACTTTAACTTTCAATTTGGTTTCAAGAACATCTTCACAAAGAACAACAACTAAGGAACAGTATTTGTCAACTTCAGCTGTGTTGTGTTGCTTTAAACGCTTTGTTTTATTTTATTCGACTTGTTTTAAAAGCTATTACTAAACAAAATTCTTTATCTTCAGATATAAACACTCAAGTAATCGTTTGTTGGTGAATGTTCTTCCATTTAAAAAAATCTTATTCTTTCAGAAACAAAACAAACCGTTTACCAGATAACGCGATTTTATTTGAATCAAGCCGCATTCACTTCTTTCACAAAGATTAAATTTGACAGTGTCAAAGAAAAACTTTTATAGACCGTCTAACAAGTTGTTTGTCACTCTAAGACTTGTACTTTTTTGCTTTTCCATTAAATAAAAATATATAATATTTTAAATGCAAAAATATAACAAAGCTAAGTCAATAATCCGATAAGAATAAGATGGCGAAAATAATGTACCATTCCATATCAACTGCACGTGAGTGCATCACGGTCTTTTGTTTGCTACGCCCGATTTAGCTGTATCATAAGACCAAGTTAATAGAGGAAACAGTATAGCGGTACATATTTTAATAGAAGGAAATTAAGACCCCCCCCCCTAAAGATATAATCTCGTTCTGCGGAATAAAGACGGATTTTTCATCCTCCGGAAACGTAAAAAGTGGCTTCACTTGAACATCCGAAAGTGACATGAAGAGGTATATCATGAAAGCGCCCCCCAGTGGCACAGCGGTATGTCTGCGGATTTACAACGCTAGAATCCTGGTTTCGATGCCCGTGGTGGGCAGAGCACAGATAACCCATTGTGTAGCTTTGTGCTTAATTACAAACATGAAAGTAAACGTATCTCAAAGGTTCCTATAGTGTAAATGCGATTTTTTTTTTCTGATTTGACGCAAGTAATGAGTTTTATCAACAGGCTCATGTTAGGGTCAGTTTAAGTTTCAAAACGGACTTACAAACAGAGAGGGAATCTGAATTCCATATTGTGCTTCTGTTCACAAATGAACTAGTTTCAATTTCTGTTCTTAAAATGTTCAAGATTGTACATAATTCATTTTCTTTGTGGGTAATAGAGAATAACTCGGGGATTACACGTCTACGACTAGTATTATTGGTATCCACCACTCCCACCCGAAAACATATCTGGGCTAAATAATTATAAATAAACTTAATATTAGGCTAACCTGGCTGTTACATGTAAACTTGACATTGCTTGGATTTTGTTTCTTATATATTACAAAATGTGTTTGCTTATAACTTTTAGAGCTATAAAATGCTCCAATTACATTCATTATCATTTTAATATGTGTACATTATGTTAAAAAAGTGTTTTTCAATCTGATTTCTAATATTGCAACGTAACTGCAAATAAAAATTGTACAATACTCCGATAATTTTTACAGAAAATATATCTAATCATAGCTGACACACACGATCAAACTATTATTTTTTTATATTTTCATATTCATGTTTATTCCTAATGTGCACCTGATTAGCCCCTAATGTGCACCTGATTAACTCCTGATGTGCACCTGATTAACCATTAATGTTAACCTGATTAACCTCAAATGTGCACCTGATTAACTTCGTTTCAGCCGTTGTAACGGTATTAATGTCATGTGATTTGTTATTCATTTTCTCTCTCTCTTTCTCATTCTTTCTCTTTCTAGTAAAAGAATAAAGAACTCTATCAACAATGTTGATTAATTCTTTTTGGAGTAAATCAGAATAAATGAGATTGTGTATGTTATCAATATTTAGTCCTAAATACGGGAATAGTGATACTACCATTTATTTTGTTTTTAGTTAAAACGTTCATGTTATCCAAACAAACATCCTCAGTTTTATCTAGTTTTAAGCTTTTATGAGATGCTTTTGAAGAAGACATGTGGATTTCAAAATCAGCAGAAACTTTCAAAATTGAGAAAGGCAATTCGTGTTCTTTTGAAATTTGGAATGCAACGAATCGTTAAAAGTTTATGTTCGGGACACCTTGTGAGGCTTAGTATACATCATATACTATAGCATATCTTTAAGTAATGCCTGTTAATAAAAGTTATTTGTAGTTTAAATACTTAACAAATCCACAGAATAAATTCTTTAATTTTGGCTTGAAGTAAACTGTGATTCACTAATAAAATACAAAAAAATTAAAGTATAAAACATAAAGTACAAAAATAAACTTCCATGTTTCATTTGTTTGTTTTGTTGAATTTCGCGCAAAACCACTCGAGGGATACAGACGTGAAGTAAGGCATCTAGTTAACACCACCTACCACCAAATCTTAGGCTACCCTTTACCAACGAATAATATGACTAACCCTCACATTATAATGACTCCACGGCTGAAAAGGCGAGCATGTTCGATGACGGGATTCCAACTTCCGTGCAATTATAACATATAACAAAGGTTTATCTATACGTAATTATAGTATTATCAGTTTACTCGGAGCCAAACGTTTAGCGAGTAACATTTGTTAGTCGTTTGTATTTTATTTTTCTTGTTTGTTTTTACTTTTGTACATGTGCACATTATTTTCCGATTAAAAAACAAAAAATATGAGTTGTTTTTACTGAAAAAGGACAGTAATTCATATCATATAAACGACTGCTTAGTGTTGGTTTCAAGTTTCAAAGCATATAACATAAATTCAGCATAAATACGGACTGTAAAAGGTCAATCGTGGCTTACTGGTTAGCGTATCTAGTTGTATATCTGAAGGTCCAGGGTTTAAGACATGTTGCCTCTGAGTGCACTCCGCACTTACAAAGAGCGTTCAAATAGATGGACAAAGCTCTTGTGACGGCAATAGGCTGCCTTCCCTCTGATTGATAATCATGTCATTTGTTCGTTTTTGTTTTTTAGCGCAAACATGCACAATGAGCTATCTGCGTTCTCTCTCCACTTCGAGGAATCGAACTCCAGATTTTAGCATTGTCCGTAAAATTATTACTGACTCACCAACGTACAGGTCACTATTCAATATTGGAAAAGGTTACGCCTGAAGTCTAGGATTCTCTGATGTGTCCGTTTTAGCCACCACTACCGTTCCCATTCTGCATATACGGTGCCTTTTGGGTTGAAAATTCCCATTTCATTCCGTAGTGCAAAGGTGTGAAGGAGTTCTGCATGCCTCTCAAACTTAAAACTTCTTCACGTCTAAAACCTAAAATAATCTTGTACCAACCTAAAGCGATCTTCTTTGTAAAGGGAATTGATAGTGTAGATGCATAATATATTTTTTTATACTTATCAGTGAGAATAGTAGGACTAGGGGACACAAGTATAAATTTTAGCAGGGTAGGAATCACCTAAGACAGTTTTATTTTTCTAACAGGGTGGTTGGCATTTGGAATGGGTTGCCTTCGGATGTTGTGGGGGCACTAAATTTAAGTAAGTTTAAGAGAACGCTTGATAAGTATATGAATAATAAGGGCTGCCTTTAATATTTTTTTAATTTATCTATTAACATTTTTGTTTAGCTTTAAGGATGGAACAGCCGAGATGGACCAATAGGTCTTATGTTGTGCCAAAACGTTATGTTATGTTAAAACAATCTTTTTCACAACCAGAAACGACATTCTTTCCTAATGCTCAAAAGAAACACAAGAAGAGTTATTAGAAACTATAAAATTTATAACTGGAAAATGTATCTCACAACAAATTGTCAGTTAATTGTGACCACAAATAATAATAATAATAACCAAAATGATAAGAAGGAAAGGACAAAAGTTAGTAACTATTTTCATCGTATCACCTACATAGTGTTTAATGTTTAGCCCACATGAACATTCTTGTGTTCAGGATTCTCTCACATGTCAGGTTGGATATATTTTTGAACAACTGGGAGATATTCTTGTGTTAACTAGTATTGTTTTTACTTTATTATATGCTTAAGTAGATGGTGGTTAATATTACTTAAATAAATGGCCGAATTAAGCCTAGTGATTGATGTGAATTCTTTAGTTCGTGGTTCGTATCTCGTTGCCGTAGGACCGTCGATACACTATAAGGATGACGGTTAAATCCCCTTCTTCATTCATAGAAGAACACCCCAAGAACTGGCGGTGTGTGCTGTTGACCTACTGCTTTCCCTCGAGTCTACGAGTTAAAAATAGGAACGGTCATGGATATTTGCACATAGCCCTTGTGTAGCTTGCGCGACAATTCTGAAAAAAAGCCAACAAACGAGTGACAAACTTTATCTGGACAGAAGTTATTTCATGATTATTTTGATTCAACATATAAAAAATGTCATTCTAGCATGGATTCTTCTTATTTCAGATACTGTCCAGAGACTCCGTTACTGTGGCTGTCGACGCTGTTGTATACTACCGCATCAGTAATGCCACTATCGCTATCTCCAACGTGGAGGATTATGGCCATTCAACGCGCCTCCTGGCGGCTACCACTTTACGGAACGTCCTCGGAACCAAAAACCTATCTGAAATTCTCTCGGAGAGGGAGAGTATTAGTCACGTGATGCAGGCCAGTTTGGATGAAGCTACCGACCCCTGGGGAGTAAAAGTAGAACGTGTAGAAATGTAAGTCTTCCTCTCTCTCTTTTTTAATGCTCGGATTATGAATCCGAACATTCATGGTTCGCGTTCTGTTCTCGCAACAACAAAAAAAGCACGCTGGGGCCGAATGATGGTCAAATTCTCTATTCAGTCAGACAAGAGTAACCCAAAAGGTCAAAGTGAGTACTGTAGATTAGCTGCTTTCCCTCTACTTTATCAGTTCAAAATTAAAGACTGCTATGCGCATGTATTCCTCCTCCTCCCCCCTCCCCCCAGTGACACAGCGGTATGTCTCACACTGCTAGAAACCGAGTTTTGATATCCGTGTTTGGCAGAGCACAGATAGCCATTTGTGTAGCTTTGTGTTTAATAACAAACAAACAAAATGTAGTCCTGATGTAGCTTTGTGCAAAAAGTCTAAAAACAAAAAAATATATTTTTAGGAAAAAATACATCAAGACACATGGTAGTCTGTCGTGCGGCCAAAACAACCTACAGGACACACTGTGTGTTATTAACAAAAGTGATAGTTTAGCGATTTTCCACCTTCTGTATCTCGTACTATGGTGATCCAAATTATCACATATTTTCTGTGGATGTGCTCTACTGGACTCTTACTATACATACCAAATTTTAAGGCAATCCATCAAGAAATACCTGAGATATAACATCTCCAATTTTGATTGAGTTTTCCAACCTTGTAGAATTTTAGGGTGGCTTAATTCTACGTTAAGGTTATATTTTTCCACAACTGACTGCAGAAAGCGAAAGGCAGTGGGAGGTGAGACGTTGTGGGTTCAAACACTCAACTCCCAACCCTTAGCTGATTCTCCTTAGTTGCTGGCGACTTTTATATCGACGTATGGATCTTGTCTGATAGATGGCATACCCTCAACGTGTTTGGGTGTTATGACCACAGACATTATCCATTATGACTTAAAGATCACATCGAGGACTGATAATGGAAGAATTATTTTGAATTTTAGTCTCATTATAATGTTTTTGTTTTGTATTGAGTTCATTATTGTTTTATAGTGCTGATTTCAATCGCCTATGGACAATTAATGTACTTCATAGTATTAGATATATTTATCTCTTTATAAACATATAGATATATATATAGATAATCAAAACACATAACAGTTTAAACCTGTAAATACAAATATTAAAACACAACAACACTAACTTTTTCCTCTTTTTATCTTCATTATTTCTTTTTACGGGATTCGTGACTTCGGACGTAATTTTTAAAGGGAAGTTATAAACAAACTGTTAGATACTATTGTTTGGCCTTTGGGATGGATTGCCATCAGATGTGGTAGATGCAGTTAATCTAAGGAAGTTTAAGTTTGTTATTAAGCCCAAACTACACAATGGGCTATTTGTACCTAGCGTTATAAGTTTAGAGCTTTATTGCTGAGCCGCTGTGATGCTGGAGTTTAAGGAAAGGCTTCATAAGTATTTGAATATTAACGGCTGTCTTTGAAGGTTCTATTTTTATTGTAGAGTTTAGTATAGTGGATAAAACGGCCTAGATGGACCAACAGGCCTCTTGTTCTCCTTAAATTATACAAGTGAAAAAATTAAATTAAAAATAACTTAAATAAAATAAATGAAATGCATACTCTAATACATATATACAAATAAAATAAAATGCAAATTTAATAAAATCCTTATATAAATTAAATAGGTTAAAGTACATTAAAATATAAATTAGTTTAACCTTATAAAATAATTTCTCTTCTTATATATACTTCATCATTTTTATTTTATCATTTTCCCTCTAGATTCAAACTTTATCTCGATTTAATTTTAGCCTAATGTTATAGAAAAACAGTTTATTTCCATAATTCTTAACAATCTAATTAAAATACGTCACACTTTACCGTCCCTTCTTTCCTTCGGTGGGACAGCAGTAAGTTTACGAGCTCACAACGTTAAAATCCTGGATTCGATTCACCGCGATTGACAAAGCAGATATCCAAATATGGCTGTGTTCTAAAGCAAACTGTCCCTTCTTTAATTCCTAGTAATATATGCTACCGTTGCACAATTCAAACTATCATCACTCAACTACTGTTATTTCTACTCTCTTACCTCTACCTATCTAAAGTGACGCAAAAAAAAAGATATACAAATATATATCACTTATTTTAGACGTCTAAATATGGCCAGTAAAAAAATATATATTAGTGCGTTAAACAGAAGTATGATCTTATTGTATTTTAGTGATTAAACAAAAAGGAGCTATCCCTATTGAGTAAATCCAACGGGATACCCCCCCCCCCTGCAAACTTACGACGCTAAAATTCGGGTTTCGATATCCATGGAAGGCAGAGCACAGATAACCTATTGTGCAGTTTTGTGCTTAACAACAGGCAACTGAATCAATTACAACATATTACCTCCCCCCCCCCTCACGCACACAAATTGTATACATTAGATACAGCCTGCTTCAGCTTTTTTAACGTATGCTGACGTAATGGATCGTTAATTAATGGGCTGTTCTACCCTGATAATGTTCAATGATGTTTAAATACTACACACTCTCCATGCTCAATCAGAGCCTGGATAAATGGTTTTCGCTTGGTGTGGTTCGGCGTTATTGTCAATCCGAATGAAATAATTAGATTTTCTGTAACCGACACTAATTTTGGATACTACGCTAGTCTGTCTTTTTCCGCTAAAATAAATCTAGATCATCAATATACCTGCTTTGTTCAATAGCGTTCTGTGATATCTCTCAGTCTTAGCAACTAACATACCCGTATATACTATCATTCCCATCTACACAGCAATGCCAATATGTGACGAAAATATTTGTCTATTACCTGAAACCGTATATATCATGTTGTCTTCCCTTTTGTAGCCATGTTAGCTTAATGTAATAGTAACTACTGGTCATCTAGCCTTTAGTTCTTTCACACTGGTTCGTGTCACTTAGTTTCTTTTGATACTGGTTCGTGTCGTACAGTTTCCTCTGACACTGGTTTGCAGCGTATGGTTTCCTTTAACACTGGTTCGTGCCGTGTAGTTTCCTTTAACATTGGTTACAAGTGTCCATTATTGAGTTGCTACTGTCTTCTCGTTTTACTTCAAGGTGCATCTAGATATGCTACAGCCCAATTCACAAATGGTGACTAATCTGCGACCACTGCATTCTATGCTGACATAACTATAATGATTACTGCTCGTGGCCCATCAGCAATCTGTGTTTACTTGGTTACAGATGCACCTGGTATGTGGGCTATCAACAATCGGTGTTGACTTGGTTACAAATGCACCTGGTATGTGGGCCATCAGCAAACTGTGATGACTTGGTTACAGATGCATCTTATTGGACCATCAGCAATCTGTGTTGGCTTGGTTACATATGCACCTGGTATGTGGACCATCAGTAATGTGTGTTGGCTTAGTTACAGATGCACCTGGTATGTCAACCATCAGCAGTCTGTGTTGACTTGGTTACAGATGCACCTGGTATGGGGCCATCAGAAAACTGTGTTGACTTGGTTACAGATGCACCTGGTATGTGGGCCATTAGCAATCTGTGTTGACTTGGTTACAGATGCACCTGGTATGGGGCCATCATCAAACTGTGTTGACTTGGTCACAGATGCACTTGGTATGTGGGCCATTAGCAATCTGTGTTGACTTGGTTACAGATGCGTCTGGTATGTGGGCCATCGGCAATCTGTGTTGACTTGGTATGTGGGCCATCACCTCTTGTTTCCAGTCTTTTAAGTGCTTTCTGGAAGACATTATATATTGAGACTAAGACATGGCAGGATTGCTCTAGGCATTAAGGGTGGGGGAAGTTATATATATATATATATACATATGTTTTAAATTTCAAGGAGCTCGGATATCTGTTGAAACTAGAGTTGTTGTTGTCCAACAGTAAGGTGTTTGTTTTGGTGCTATAAAGAATACATAACAGTAATTTTAACTGTTAATAACAGATAGATAAATTAGGGCTATCCAAAAGAATGAAAACAAGTTAAATGTTAACATAAATTTACCGTATTGAGTAAATTATCCAATTCTTTACGTTGGTTTGGAAAAGCAATCCTTGGCAATTTTGGAAATGTTTCACATTCATGTTGAATTGTTGCTATATAACCTATATGAAAGCCAGTGTTTTTTGCACGTCACGCTTGATTTCTCTTGATTGCTCAAAATATGAGGAGTCATAAAAGCCAAAATGCATTTATCCAGATAGAATAGCTCGATTACTCGGTGGTGCAAAGGACCACGAAGGGGGGGACTTGAAATCTTGTAAGTGTAATGAGTGTTGGTATAATAAGCCTAAAGTAAGAACGTAGTGTGGGATCATTTAGCCTAGAGCCAAGTGTAGAAAATGTATCGTGAAAGAAAAATATTGATTTAATTTTAAACTTAAATCGTTTCTGAATTAAGCTATTTTCTGTTATATCACCAACGTTTTTAATAAAAGACAAAAGTCTTTAGTCAGCGGAGTCTCTAAGTTAAGAAATCAAAAAAACATTTTCCAGTTTTGTTGTCTATAAAGATCATATTACACTGGCCCGGCATGGCCAGGTGGTTAGGGCGCTCGACTCACAATCAGAGGGTCGCGGGTTCGAATCCCC